AATTCTGTTTTGTGTTTCAGTCTTCGGCGTAATTGTATCAGTTTAATTTTTAATGAGCTCCTCAATTTCCTGCCTAAAGCTGCTCCATGTAGGATATCAGGCAGATATGGAGTAGATGCAACCGATATTAGGACGATGTCGGCTGTGGCGGTGCGGGTGCATGTTCAATCATAAAAAAAATATAAGGATAGAAATGCAGTGTGGTAGGTGGGCCTATCTTTTGTAGAAACTTTTCGTATGACAAATTGTGCCGATTATTGTTACACGATTAACGCTCACTTCCTCAAAGGCTCGCCGTGATCGTCTAGTAGTCTGGACACTGCGTTGTGGCCGCAGTAACCCAGGTTCGAATCCTGGTCTCGGCATTTTAATTTTTATCGCTTTCTGTTTAAACGCAATAATTATAATGAAATAATAATAATCCAAAGAATTCAGGGTTCTCTCTCTTGCTTCGAGAAAGAAGCCTGGTTGCGACTGATCACGTGGTCCTCAAAACCTGGGAGACAAAAACAAGGGAAGGGAAGAAGAGTAAATAATTGTTACCATGACAAAAGTTACTCTGGTCGGAGCCCGAGAGGAGCTTGCCGCCTCGTACGGCTCGGCTACTTGAAAATGTCAACAACACCCAAAAATAAAAAAATATTATTGCATGATGCAAGAGAGAGAACTCTGCGAACGAGGTTCGTGCACCAGCCGATAAATTAACCAAAGCGGAAAATGACACAACAATCCTTAACTGCCGTCTGGGTGGTACTTCTTTTAAGACCTGACTTTTTCATCATCTTTAATTTTCCTTTTCATGAACTGCACGAGCGGAGTATTCAAATTTACGAAAAGCTGATTTTGCACGTGCAAATCGAGCAAGGTTTCCCGTATCCTGTTGGTAGGACGGCGAGCAAATATTTTTTCAATTTTTTTTGATTTTCAAGTAAGAATTTTCTCCCTACCCCAGATAGTATTTCATCGTCCAGTCTTCAAAATTTAGAGGAGGACCTACCCCTGCTGACAAATGTTTTCCACGTGACCAGTCGCAACCGTGGTTCTTTCTTGAAGCAAGAGAGAGAACCCTGGGAACGAGATTGGGTGACGACTTCTTACCAAGAATACCAAGACCAGTTTTCATGTTGTTCGCGAGGGGTACTTCCATCAGTTTTAAACAATGAAGGCAGTCGGGGGCAAATTTAGGGATTGTGGCGCTCGCTTAAATAATTACCGCGGTGCTCTCTGAGTCCGCCCTCAAAAAGTTGAAGTTTGTGTTTGGTTATTAGAAATCAAAACTAATCCTATCCATCAGAGATTCTGTGCTCTTTCATGCTTTCTCTTATTCTTGGATCATTTTACGGTTCTGAAAAAACCAACAACCGTTTTTATACCAATCAGCGGAAAGATGCAATTCTGTCCAGTCTTAATTAAAGTCGGTAGAAAATACTACAGGAAATATTATTTGCTACATTACTCAACGAAGACCTCAACATACGATAGCTGCAATTAGCAAGAAACCTCTGCATAAAGGGTTACCTCTAGATCTTTTTCAGTTGTACATCTATTCAGTACTCAGTTCTCCGTTGCAAATGAAATCGAATTTTGTCTCTTGAATGCATGAGGGTGTGTAATAGACAGTCAGTCTTCTTAATAGAACCACGATTTATGGGTGTATCACAAAAATTAATCAAATTTTATCAGTTGATAATAGTCTTCTTTGGTGATTTGGTGAGCATGGTTCGTTTTGCTGTCAGCGATCGATATCTGACAACGATGCTTGGGAGAACATGTGAGAGAGGTCTACTACTAAGGAGACAATTTCAGAATATTCTTCTTAATTATTGTTCTTCAATCCTGATCGATGAATTTCTTAAAAGGTGCTAGTGAAACCTGTGTTAAATTAAACGGCCCATTTGTATCAAGCCGACAGCTAGTCTGTAACACTCAATGGTTGTACTGCATACACATTAAACGCCTTCGCTGAGTTAATTAAAAGGTATTTAATACAATCAATTAACGAAGGCGTTTCAGCAACACAGAGCTTATACTATGGATCATCAATTACAAATGAACGTTTCTTAAAGCATTGTTCGAAAATAACGCGAGTTGCATAGTAGCCAAGCTAGCAGCTGTACTTTCAGCTTATTTATGCAACGGTGGGGTCTTTCCTTTGCTGTACGTGCACGTAGAGCAGAATTGATAAGAAAATCGTATCAGAAATAAGTTCAAATGACACCGAAATAACCGTTTTGCTTGACAAGTATTTCCTTAATATCCCTCCTTACTGATCGACAAAGTAAATATCGGTTTTTATTTGGCGCTTATCTGATTTCCCGGTGATAAAATTACTTATTACATCTTCAGAGGAACAAGAAAGATAAGTGAGAGCTCGTCTATGATAGGTTACTAGATTGTTAAGGCTGTGACGTCGAGACTTATTTCTAGTTATTTCATGCTTTGTTCAGAATAATTTTACGAGAATTATGTCTTGCAAGAGAAAAATCATTAGTCCATGAAACTGCGAACAGTGAAAATTTACGGCTCTTTTATAAGAGAGCCCTGTGGTTTGATTATTTAATTATTACAAGCTTATTGCTTCACCTATCACACAAAAGTCGCGTCATTTTTAATCAAACAAGAAGATCTTAACTTATGAAACAACGCCGAGTTTAAGTAATAACAAATCGTGAATAGAAACTGTTTGTCATTTAAGTTAAAGTTATGGAAATGAAAAAATCCGTTGCCTTTTTGGGTTAAAAAAAAATCATAAAGGCAAATTTCCTCCCTCTCCACAGAGGACTTCTTTTTTCAAAGAGAGATGAATAGAATTGGACTCACTCCCTAATGTTTTATTTTCATAAACGTCTTAATTACATTTCTTGTTTTACATTACGAGTATATTACATCTTGATTATTTGTTTTAACCTTTCGCATGCTTGAATGATAGCACCAGTTAAACATTTTAGAGTCCTGTTACTTGCACATAATGTCTAGAAAGCTATAATGGGTTTCCAAATGGTGCATCTGGAAGATTACCTAAACGAGCGTTTTCAAACATATGAACATGCAAACTGAGCTACATACTTTTTTTGATCGAGAAGAAATATTTGTCCATGCGATTTCCTTTTTCAAGTTGAGCTTGGCGAGTTTAATTTGCAGCACGATGTTTAAGTCGTAAGGTTCCGGTAAATTCGGAAATCGCATGCTGCGTTTTAAACTAAATGTTAGCCACAGGCCGGTTCCTCTCAATAAGTTGTTTACTTTTCGGTGTTTTCAAAAAGCCTTTTTACGAAATAGAGGTTTTTGCTGGTCTAGAAAAGCAGAACTGTTTAAAATGGAAAAAGGAGAGGGCGATTCTAGTATTTTTCTACTATATGCACGCGTATTAACTCAGTGCTCTTTTTCAATCTACAATCAAAATTTGTAGAAAGAGAAGCTACTGACCTACTCCAGGCTCTGATTTCTGTAACGATATAAAAACATTAATGGAAAACGCTCGGCACAACATTGAAGTCTGAATGACCTCTACATAGTTTAATCCTCCTCGCCACCTTAATTTTTATTTGCCAGAAATCAAACTTGATTTTTGAGCAAAAAAGACGTTTGCTTCATCTAGGACTCTTTACTGAGTTGTGGTTCCTTTTACCAACTCTTATTCACTGATAAGTTTAGCGTAGATAATTTAATCGTCAAAACTAAGCTTCATTTATCTTCAAATGGACGGTGCAAATAAATTGATAAAAAAGCATGCCAGAGAATCGCTTTTGGGTCAACAGTAACCCGACACTTCGATGAATCAAATAATTTGGAAATCCTGAATTTTTAAAAACAAAATTGCTTTCAGGGTGTAAGACGGATCGAGTTTCCCATGCATAAAATTACAACTTTTTTTCTGACCCCGATGAACAATACCCTTTTTAAAATATAAGAAATTCTGTTTTTTTGCCAGCTTGCTTATTTTAAAGCGTACCCAAATCAAAAAGGATCCAGCTCAATTCGACTAATGGTCTGAACCATTTTCTTTTCATGGATGTATATAAAGGATTGGAATAAACATTTGCTGTTTAGGTCCATTACTTCACACTTCCTCTGCTGACTCACAATCAAAAGCAAAATGCCTGCATGATATTGTTTAATATGACATTTAATGTTAATAATAAAAGCCAAAGGAAATCTTCAGTTCTTTGATTATGTTTGTTTAGTGTCGTGAACTCTCTCAAACCATTAAAACAATTGACATTTTCTCGTCGCATTTGGTTGAAGAGCCTTCAAAAATCAATAACTTTAAATCAATTTTCCACCGTTCAAATATTTCGGTTAAAAGGCTGAATACTATTTTAGAGGAATTAAAATTAATTTACCTCACATTTTGCAGTTGTAAGTGCCAAATAATGAATTTAATGGTGTCGGATATTTATTCGACATGACAAAATTAAAACCTTTCTTTCAGCTATTCACTTCCCGTAAACTGCGTATTTAATTAAACACATAAAGAAAGCCAGTTTTTATTGACTGCAGTGTTATATTCTGTTTTCATTGTGAGCAGTTGAACCCTCTCTTGGAATTATAAACACAATTGTTTTTAACTGTCGCCAATAAAGTTTTGATATCGCTAATTGGCAGAAAATTCTCTCGAAGGATCTCTAAGGAGAATTATTTCCTAGTTGAGGATGTGTTGAAGTGTTGTTAGACACGTAAATATATTATACATGTTTTTAGGTTTTTTTCAAAGCTCGATTACGCTATTGCACTCAATAAATATCAGGCTGATTCCAACATTTTCAATCTTCAATGGTGATTAAATAGAAATTTAAATTTGAACATAATTTGTGTTTAACTGTCAATCACATTAAATGAACCTGTCTTTAAATGAAAACAAAAAAGCGTGATGTACAGAGACCTGACACTCCCCTGAACTGTCAAAGTCTTTAAAGCTTTTGCAACTCCTAGAGAACTCATTCAGCGCAAAGTACTGAAGCTGACAGAAATCACGGAACTTAACATTTATTCTACTGAAAATGTTTTTCCCGCAAGATCCAATGCTTTTGTACCAGCAATCTCCATATATGACTCCACCAGCAATTCCTCGAAGTCCCCCAGTTCGATCTTCGTTTTTAATCGACGATCTTTTGGTAAGAAGACAGTCTCCCTATATAGTTCCAAAACAGCCCCAAGATAATCATTTACACGAGCCTCAAGTTTCTTCAGGCAATGGAAACTCGTTCAAGTTTGGCATGCCCAGCATATTTTCACGGACCCGCGAAGAGCATTCAACAGTTTACCAAGGTAAGTTTCTTATCAATTTTAACCTATTTAGGAAAGGCTTGTTTAAGGGAGTGTCTCTGTTTTAAATCAGATTGCCCTTTTTGCGTCGGGCTTATAAATCCTTTGTCCGCGAGCTGTTTCTGTGCTTTGCGTTCAAAAATGAAAGCGCTTATCGTAATGGTACCATTTTTAAGTCATCTATTAACAACTTTGAAGCTGCGAAAAGATTCTAAAGAGGGGAAATAAAAGAAATTTGAGCCGATAATGGCTTAAAACTCACGAATTCCCTAAACTGAAAGCAAATACTTAAAAGTAATTTAATCTTTCTTTTCCTTTCCGTAAAAAGGGCCTTTTTTATCAGGAATCCCTCATTTTGTAATTACATTTTCACACTTTCAACGCCTCCTTTTATTATGAACTCTTTCAAAACCCAAGATAAAGAGTTGCGATTATCTTCTCGGGGGTTTGTGCGAGTCGAACTATCGGGATATGAACACAAGTCACAGAAATCTCATTTCACTTGGATATATTAGAACTTGCTAGTATAATACCAGTTCACAGACTATACGCCTCTATTTAATTATATTTACGCAAACTGGGAATTCAGCAGGTTCTTGTTAAAAAAAGGAACAAATCTCCATTCTAGTTTTATCTATAGATGAAAATACTTGTCGCATTAAGCGAAGAAGACACATCTGGCTGACTAAAAGCTCACTGATGAGGCTGCCCATCACTGAACTCAGTACCCAATTCATTTCCAAGAAAATATCACAGTAATTGAGAACATTTTACCCTAGACAAAAATCTTCTCCGATGTAAACAGAAGTGGGGTTTACTTTACGTGGTTAAGTTTTGAAAACTAAAAATTCCGACCGAGAGCAATGTTATTGTCCTGTAGTACTAGTATACGAGATAAAATAGATTTTGCATAGCTGAGTGGGTCTTTTTTCGGTCCAATATTGCCTTCTCCCCTTCTATTAAGCGTGAAAGCGTTCGATTTTTTTCTTGCTATTTTTAAAGTTTTCTTTTTCTTTTCAGATCCCAGCCCTGAAGTTCTGAACTCTCTCCCAGTATACTTTCGCCTTAAGCCAACCATAAGGACACCGAGCGGTCGCAGATGCCGCAAATCTCGCACTGTCTTCACTGATCTCCAGTTGCGCATTCTCGAGAAAACCTTTTCCGAACAGAAGTACTTGGACACGTCCAGCCGAGCGAAACTTGCTCAGACTTTGGGCTTGAACGAGACACAAGTGAAAACGTGGTTCCAGAACAGGAGAATGAAATGGAAGAAAGACGCAAAACAGACCAAGCAAGCAGAAAGCAGCGATGGGCAGACACGAAATGACGCGGAAACCAACAATGAAGACAAAAAAAGAAACGGAGAGGCAAGCTGCGTAATGGAAAGCGAGGAAGTGGAGATAAAGAGAGAAAGCGAACAGTCATTAGTTTAGGTTTTAGTCCATTAAAAGAATCTTTAATGAGATAAAACCGCAAAATTTTTACATAGTATTACGTATCGTTCTTGAGAACCAACTCTTGGGGAGTTACTCTAATTTGAGATCTAAACTTTTTTGGTAGTTCTTCGAGATCATAGCAAGTATCATCAACACCCTGTATAATATAGTATTTGGTGTGTGAAAGTGATCTCGATTAATTAGCTTGAAACAGATAAAGCGAAAACAAAAGTCAAGAATTAGATACGATGCAGTCTTGTCATAATATACCTGAATTTATCGTAGTTTTTGATCATGAGTTTGTGGATTTCAGGAGACCGACTTGAAAATTAATTATAACAATTAAAAGGGAAGTGGATAGGAAATTGATTAGCTAATCCATGATTAGTGCGCATCAACGCATAAAGAGCACCATTCACTGACTTTGTAATGTACATGATAACTGATGTGTATGTTTAATGAATATGTATATATGAAGATTGCATTAGAAACTGTTTGTAAGGCCCTGTTTTAAAGCTTGATACCAACTGATATTAGTTCCTGTTTTTGTCACGTGATCACTTAAGTCATTATACGGACCGTGCATAAATTGAAAAGGTTATTATCCAAATCTTGTCAAAATATAAGACCATTTTTATGAGCTGAATTACAAGAAATGAGAAATCTCCTTAGCATGGCAATTACTAATAGGCTAATAAAGTTCATGATTGACCAGTTAAGCAGGCAAGTGTCAAGTCTGCTTTCGAGTCAAGTGACCACTCAGGAGAGGGCTGAGTTCTAGGCAAGGGGGGTTGGGGGCGCGAGGGAAACGCGAGGGGCGCGCAAGGAGGAAGGGGGCGAGTGAAACCTCTAGCATGAAGCGAACAGGAATATCTAAGCCCCAGATGACCGGAATGACAGTCCGTCGAGGTTTAGCCTGTTCACAGACCCTCCACTTTCTCTTTAGAGATCGTCGCGCGCGCGTATGGAAATCAAAACCGCGG